GCTGCATTTGTGCTATCCATGATGTTAAATTAACAAGGTTATTCGGAAAATTCATCCTTATCTCCTGGTATGCATAGATTATTTCATTAGTGATGCTCATGAGTGTTGTAATTGGTCTCTACATGACATTGTATATCAAAATGAGTGCTATTATATTCTTACTCTTGTTGTTTCTTCTCCGTTGTCGCTATTGGAACAAGCAAAGCCCATGCAAGCACAAAATCAAATGCAATCCAAAATATAGTTAATTTGTGAAGTTCTTTATATATATAAGCCAAGAGAAATCTGGATTGTACTAGACAAATAGGTGAAACAAACCTCACTTGTAAGGGTCCTTTTCTCCTATGAACCTGACTTAAAAACTTGGTTTCTAATCAGGAAAAAATTATAAATAGCTTCAAGTAGATGTCAAGCTTGTGAAATTAACCATTTAAGTTAACCCCATGCTATGCATCACAAACAAGTCAACGGACAGCACTAAAGACAATTAATCCTCTTATTGCACTTTTCCTTTTGGTATGATGGACATGAAGTTGGAAGCCGAAATGATTGTTGTTTCAATGCAAACACTGGTGTGGATGACAATGGGGAAGAGGAGAAGAGGGTGGTTTTTTATTCAAGAAAGTGTGAAAGTGATATTAATTTGTTTTGGGAATAAGATTCTCAAGTCAAAAGATTTGATAAAGAATGACCTAAATAGCTAAAACATGATTCTTTTTATTTTGTGACTTAATTTTGTTGATAGAAAACTATTTTCATGTATTGCGTTTACCATGTCCAGGGAGCGTACACAGGGGTTTGTTCACAGCAGCATGTGCCTAGTTACAAAAATATAATTGATAAGTTCAAGGCTAAAGGGATTGATTCTGTCATTTGTGTGGCTGTTAACGATCCATATACTATGAATGCTTGGGCAGAGAAACTTCAAGCTAAAGATGCTGTAAGTGATTATTGTGAATCATATACATTCCTTTCTCTTTTCTTACATGTGATCTGAAAACCTTTTCTATTTGTTTTGATTTTGCTTGTCTCCTATTTTGTAATGTCTCAATTTCAGTTAAACTTTATGGTTGAATCTTTACAGTTTTCTATATTCTAGGAAATTTCCTAGAAAACTAGATAATTCTCCAAAGTAGACATGACCTTAATGGCTTTATTCCCCAGTTGTGCATTTATGTGACATCACTAAACCATGTACTGTTTGCTGCTTCATAAGATGTCTGCAAGTGGAGTTAATTTTCCGGCCACTTAATCCCAAGAAGCATCGGTGCTGTTATTATTTCCATACTGTAGAAGTTTTATCCTCTCTGCAGGAACAATGTCATCTTGTTAGGGTAGTTAACTGTGCCAATAAGCAGTATCTTCTTCACTTTATTTCCCTTTTAACTAGCCTTTTTCTATTTTAGATTGAATTTTACGGAGACTTTGATGGGAGCCTTCACAAGAGCTTGGAATTAAATAAAGATCTCTCTGTTGCTTTGCTAGGGCATCGCTCTGAAAGGTATGATGCTGCCATGTCTGTTCTTGGTGTTCTAACATGCGTTTCCCAGCATTCTGAATTATCTGATCTAGGGATCTCATTTGATTTCCCTGTTTTTCTTTTTGCTGAGTGGGCTTTGAGCCAATTAATCCTAAAGAAACATCCATGTATTTGTTATTATCTGTAAGGTGGCAGTTAAAATGCAATTCGTAGTTCATATTGGTTATTTACTTTCATGCACCCAAACTCTACTGATCCGTGTGTTGATCATGGATATATTTTCCTTAGACATTTGACTCTTGTGTACTTTGTGTAGATGGTCTGCTTATGTGGAAGATGGAAAGGTGAAGGTTCTAAATGTAGAGGAAGCTCCATCCGACTTCAAGGTTTCCGGCGGCGAAGTCATACTGGGTCAAATCTAATTTTTCTTTGGTTATGTTTATAATTTTTGGGTTGAACCTTGGATAACATTGGTAAAATAATCCAGGTTGGTGCTATGTATCATATGTTTGATTCCAGAGTCACCGGAGCTTTTATGCCAAGCCTGCCAATCTATCATTTTTGGGTTGAACCTTGGATACCATTGGTAAAATAATCCAGGTTGTTGCTATGTATCATATGTTTGATTCCAGAGTACTCTTGGCTGTTTTGTCTGTGGTGTTGTACTAGAATTTTTCGTTGGAGGGAATAAGTTGCGTTTACCCACTTCTAGTCTCAGCTTTGTCATAAATTCTAATGAAATCTGAACATGCTCGTCAAAAACTAGCTTTGGCTTCTTGGATTTTGTGACAACGATGTCTTTGTTCTCCCGTTCTAGTTTCCTTATCTAAAATTTTCTCACCGGTGACTAGAAATTCTAAACATGGAGAGTGTGTTTTTGTATTTTAAAAGTTTTTTAAAAAATGTTGATCTTTTATTAATTTTTTGTTTCAAATTTTTGTTTTGTTGTTTCTGGGTTGTTTTTATGCATTTATATTAAAAATAAATTTAAAAAAATAAAAAAATATTATTTCAATATATTTCCAAACAAAAATACTTGAACAATTTATAATAAAAATATACCTCTAGCAATTTTTTAACCCAAGAAAATGATTATAAGGTTGATTTTCATACAATCAAATAAAAATTGGCATAAGAGATACCTGGCTAAAATACAGCTATTTCCATGCCTGTTTATGCTATGTCACTTTTCCCATTTTACGAACCAACACGTTCCTTCCTCATAACAATACATCCAAAAACTTGGGAAACATGGCAGAAACAAGAATGGAAATAGCATGAACATAATTACATATTTAAAGAATTTGACAGAACTCGAGATTTACGTGGACCTAGAAATTATATCTTCAATTCTTGACGATGACGAAGAAGAGCATAATCATGGGCACCGTGGATTGTTCCCAGGGCCACCATAATAGAAGTGTGTGCCCCATTCATTGCTGTAGGAGCTTTGGATGTTGTAACAATTGGTGTTTTCAGCTAGGGTTGAGATACTTCGGGCTGAACTGAGGCTGTTATCAGAGTCTACAATCTCTAGGTTCCGAAAATAGCTTGCTTTTCCGAACCCATCTTCCGCAAAGTGGCCCGACCCCATCTGTGTCGATGTGTGCTTGCCGTTGGCCCTTGAGTTCACCACCTCGCCGCCCCACTCCACCATGGTGGCATGCTTTGCTAGGTGTGTAAATAGCTCAGCTGGCCAGTATCCTACTAGGGTGTTGTCACCAAAACTCATCCACCAATTACCTAGCTTTGGATCCTAATTCCAAAAAAAAGAAGAAGAAGAAGAAGAAGAAGAGTTAAAACAATAAAATAAAAAAAGCTAATTAGACAAATAAGTTTTTGCA